GAGTAGTGGGGAGGATCAGGGAACCTTGGGTTACATACCACCCCCCCCCCCCCCCCCAAAAAAAAAAAAAAAAAACTAAACCCTAAACCCTAAACACTGAAGGACCCTAGACATAAAAACGCCGCCAAAGGCCCCCAAAAGCCAGGCCTACGATGCGATGTTCGAGGACCAGTCGTCCGATGACGAGGAGCTGATGGCCGGCGACCCAAACGGTTAGGGTTTAGGGTTGGGTTTAGTTTAGGGTTTAGGGTTGCATCTTACGGTACAATATAGCTCAAAACTCGAGCTACCTGGGGACCCTCAAGCAGGGTTGAGGTGGAAACTTTTAGGTACTCTACACTCTAAACCCTGAACCATAAACCCTAAACCCTGAACCCCAAGACGCAAAGACGCAGGGGAAAATTCGGGCTCTCGGCTGGTGGCATATCGTCTTGTTGTTGGCAACTGGCTCCCGAGTTTGTAGGCTTGCTGGCTTCGTGTCATCAGCTTTCTAAGGCTTTGGTTAAGTGAACCCAGAACCCTAAACCCTATACCCTAAACCGAGCCCTAAGCCCCAATCCAAAACCCTAAACCCTACATCAGAACTCCATGTCCTTGGACTCCCGAAAGGCTCCCAAGCTTGGGGTTTCAGGCTTCAGGGCTGTCGCAAAGGCATTAGGGTTTAGGGTTTAGGGTTTGGGGGTTTGGGGTGGGTCCAGGGCTTAGGTTAGGGTTTGAGGGTTTGGGGTTTCGGAATCTGTGGTTTTTTGGGGTCGGCGCGACAGCTCTGGGCTGGTAGGGTTAGTCTGGTATGTCGTGTTTAGGGTTTCAGGTTTAGCATTTAAGGTCGGAGTCGGGTGTTAGGGTGTGCGGCAGCCTCTGGGCTTGCTGGGTAGTTTATTTTTGGGTTTAATTAGGGTTTAGGGGTTTCATTTAGGGTTCCAGGGTTAGGTTTAGGGTTGGGGCAAGGGTCTGGGGGAGCGGCGGACAAGCACTCGTTAAACCAAACTGTCAAAAAGAAGTCTTAGAAACTGAAACCTATTGGTCCCTCAAGCTGGACGTTTCGAAGTTCCAGACTTTTGATTCTTGGGGGATGTTGAGGCGTCCCAAGCCCTATACCTAATAACTATAACCTGGAAGGCTTTTGGTTGAGGGTTTGGGGCTTCATGCTTTAGGATTTCCTGCCCAAGGTCCGTACCGAATGAAGCCCCCTTCCCCCTGCGCTCTCTCCAGGCCGGTGTGGGGGGAGGGGGTGTTGAAATTTTCCTTACGGTCCCTATATTCATGATATGCGAATAACCCCTCCAAATCATGTTCTAAAATATGTAAGGCCCCATCTAGTGTCACAGTGCCAGTTCGGAGTTTATCTCATTGCTTTGGGGTGCTCGGGACTTCTTCATGACCTAGATAGGGATTCCAGCATGCAGGCAGGATCCAATGCCCCCCTCAACCCCCCCCCCCCCCCAAGCTAAAACCTCGAAGCCATGAACCCAAAGCCCACAAAAGCCACCCCCTCGGATGTGATTTCTGTAAAGCCCCAGACCCCAAGCCTAACCCAGGTTTTTCGTGAGGAGGGCTTCAGGTTGAGAGGCTTTTCGCTGTGTAGATCGGGTTGAGATCCGAGCACCGGGAAGATTTCTTATCTCGCAAAACATGAAAGCTTCAAACCCTGCAACCGAGTCACCCCAATCGCAGGTGGCGGTTGATTCTCCAAACAGCGCATCGACACATAAGAGGTAGCTGGGGTTTCAACCTGCAATTGTTCTGCGATATAGCTAGAGCTTAGGGAACCCCAACAAATCCTTAAACCGTATGTGGCGCATTTATCTTGAAGGGTGTCTGGGTGCTCGCCGTTTTTCGGGGTGGCCGTCGGGACTCTCACCGGGTATAGGGGGTGTGTAGGGGGTGTAGGGTTTAGTGTTTCAGGTTTTAAGTAAGGCAAGTATATACATATTATGGTTCGACTTCTAGCTACCCATGAACTTTCAAGTAATCCCGAGACTCAGTGCATAAACGAACCCTTCGTAGCTGCACCTTTAAAAGCTTTAACCTTTTGGGGTATGCATACTTCCTACCATACTTGAAAGGTTAACCTTATTTGGCCCAGGCTGCTCAGCAACTGGGAACCTTTCCTGTTTCATGCCATGCAGCTTTCATGGCAGTGGACGTTGAGTCTACCGGGGCGCTCTACCGTTTAGCATAGCCCTTAAGCCCTATGCGGCTCAGGTCGTTTAGGGTTTTGTATGTACCCCTACAACCCCTAAACCCTTGACCCTAAACCCTTATGAACGAGCATCCGGGAATCTTTGTCATAGTTGGGAAACATTTTACATTTTTAAGGGTACTTAAACCCAATAAGGAATATAATTTTAAAATTTATTACTATCCCAACTATGAACCAGGAATGTGCAGCTGATCTGAGGCCCCCGCTGAAGCCGGTGCAGGCGGCTGGCGGAGTCGGAGTTGAGAAGAAAGATCTGCATGTCCGCAGGGTTTAGGGTTTAGGGTTTAGGGTTTAGGGTTTAGGGTTTAGGGTTTAGGGTTTAGGGTTCAGGGTTTAGGGAAATGGGATCTGTCGGATGTTGGAGGGTAGGGTTCCGGGGTTTAGGGTAGACTTTGGGGTCCCTGGATGCACTGAATTGAATTGCCAGCCCACGCTCCCGACCCACTACTAATTTACTAACTACTGCTTGCTTTAGGGTTTGGGGGGCTTTAGGGTTTTTTAAGGTTAAAAAACCTTAAATGCTACTAAGTTACTAACTACTGTTTGCTTTAGGGGTTTGGGGGGCTTTCGAGGACTCTCATAGCAAATCCTGTTGGCCTGCGGGGGCTGTTTCTGGTGGCACGCCCGGCCGACGACCTCTTAGCTGCTTTGAGGTCTTAGGAGTCCAGGGCCATTGCAGGATAGAGTTTAGGGGAATTTAGGGCTTAGGGCATAGGGCTTAGGGCTTTGGGTTTGGAGTTTAGGGTTAGGGTTTCGGGCTTTTTCGGGAATAATAAGGCTGAAGGGGATTTGATGGGGTTTACAGCGCCAAGAGGCATCCTTCAACAAAGCCTGCAGGCCCGAAAGCCGCAAGAAGCCCGAACAAACCCTAGCCGAAACCCTAAACCCCAAACCCCAAAACCCAAAACCCAAACCCTGACCCTAACCCTGAACCCCAGAAGCCTTAAGCCGCCACGAGCCCATACCCCCACACACGCTCCGACTGGTCCCTGGAAGCTTCGGCCCTAGCTTTTAAGGCCCAAGATGCAGCTTCAAGCCCACAGCCCACAAGAAAGACCAAAAGCCCCTTAGTTTAGTTCACTCAAAGACCCGTAGAGCTCAAGGTGTGTTGCTTAATTAGGGGGTTTCGGAGAAAAAACCCAGAGACACCCCCCCCCCTCAGGAGTCCAAGTTTAGGGTTTTGTGGTGGGGGTAGAATCCCAAAACAGCTTTCGAAAGAAGTCCTAGCGGGGGCAGCTTACTTAGCCAAAGACTTGATTTTCCAACTGCTTGGCTCCCGAAAACTTTTTTCCAATGAGTCAAAAGGCCCAGAAAAGCCCCCATGCCCTGATCCCATGGTGAGAACCTTTGGCCATGGGGGGTGGCGGCTCGCGGCAGCTTTTAGACTATGAAGAAGCCGCCATGTCCCCAGTGCCGGATCAGGGTCCAATCAGGAAGCCAAAGCTCTCCTGAAAAAGGGGGACGGCCCTGACCCTAAACCCTAAACCCTACACCCTAAACCCTAAACCCTAAACCCTAAACCCCACAAGCCTCTCAGTTCAGATTCCCTGGAAGGTGGTGGGGTTGTTGGGGTTGAGGGTTTATTTCGGGTTTAGCTGCCCATGATCTGAACCTCATGGCCACAAGTGCCACCAAGAGGCCTTGTTAAAATCAACCCCCGCTCCCCCTCCCCCCCACCCCTCCCCCTCGATGAAGACTAGATCCCTTTTTCACACCCAAACCCTCTGCAATCAGAAATATCGCCCCCCTCCCAGATCCCTTGAATCACTCAAGGGCTTGGTTCATAAAGCGAAGGGGAACACTGCGATGAACAAGCGCCAAAGTTTCAAATCCCTTTGGGTTAGACTGCACCTACTCCTAAACCGTATAAACCTTAAACCCTTAACCCTACCTGTGGTTTGAGAGCTCGTGCCACTTTTAGACGCTTAAAGGTACACTGCCGATATGGGGGTTCACGACATTAGGGGTACCTTGTTGGGGTCCTTACCTTAAGGGGATCCTACCACTTGGGGTCTATATGGGTCCCTTATTCTCATAAACCCCCATATCCCAATTACTTCCTCTTACTGTGTTCATCCAGGCCTACGACCTCCATGGGCTTAGGTTTAGGGTTTAGGCGGTGGTCTGCGTAGGGTTTTGGAGATTGAGTAGCGCAAAACCCCTACAGCCTCAAAGACGCTAAACCCTAAACCAAGAATCCTAAACCCTGAACCCTGAACCTAAACCTAAACTTCTAACCTTCTTCCCACGATCTCCTGCGCTGTTCGAGGTCCAGCTCCTTGGAACCGAGGACCCACTGCGCCTTGCAAAAGCTTGAAGACCGTCCAAGCCTCCCAAGTCGCTTGGGTTTGGGGTTCAGGGTTTAGGATTTAGGATTTAGGGTTTAGGGTTTAGGGGTTACCTAAACCCTGAACACTTTGGAGGAAGGTAATTGCAGGCTAAGATCTTTTACATAGACCTGATGGCCGATGGCCTGTGTCCGACCTTGCACACAGTATGGTGGTACCTCGAGTACTCCCTACTCCCCCAAAATCCAAACCCTAAACCTGAGTCCAAGGAGCAGCATGTCAGGTATCAACTGTCTGCTGCATCGCGGCTCCAGCTTTACAGGCTAGGCCGCTTGCAACTCATCCCTCCAGCAGCTTCCCTGCTTAGTAAGCCCGCGTGCAAGCAGGAATCTCGGTCGGAACCCCAAAAAGGCAGCTACGTTGCAACTATGATTGTGAAGCTACGACTCTTCAGCATTACGACATTCACGTCAGCTAAGACCCCTCCTTGTTCGAGCCGTCCTCTTACCATGGATCGGCAAGTCACTTTCGCATTTCCACCACAAGTCTTCGGCAAGCGCATCGCCGACACCTTCTCGGATGAGGATGATGAGAAGCTCAGGCAAAGGATACGAAGTAAGCTCGACGGGAAGGTGCATGGCGAGGCGGCCGTCGGCCACATCTTTTCTTTGGAGAATGGCGGTCCTACCTGCCGCGACAACGTCTTCATGCAGGACTTACTTAGCCAATAGCTGCTACTGTAACGGCAGACTTCATTGGGCTTCTAGGATTCTAGGAAGAAGAAGAAGAAGCAGAAGACGAACAAGAAGAAAACATAAGAAGAAGAAAACGTAGGAGTACCAAGGTTTTGTCCAAAACCCTAAGGCTCTAAAGTCTGCATAACTGTCGGAGAAGTAAGACTAGGAACCGGAGTAGGCCCTTGTTTCCTTTTTTTTTAGGGTTGTGGCTCCCTTATAACTCCCTTAAATCCAAAAAGGGTACCCTTTTTTATTCCTAGACCCTAAGCCCTAAGCCCTAAACCCTAAACCCTAAACCCTAAACCCTAAACCCTAAACCCTTGTTTTTCCTAGGTTACTCCCGGGTTCTAGAAGAGGAATATCAATGGAACTCCGTGGCCCAAGATCTCTGGGACGAGCTGCACGTCGCCTTTGTTGGCCTGTAGCTCACTACAGCCCAAGTAGGATTAGGGTTTAGGGTTGAGGGTTGAGGGTTTAGGGCTTAGGGTTGAGGGTTGAGGGCTGAGGGTTGTTTAGGGTTTAGGGTTTAGGTGCTGAATGTTTTGGTTTCAGAGTTTAAGTTGAGATGTTCCCCCTTATCCTGACAGTCCTTAATAGGGAGTATAGTATCCCCTGTGATAATCCCCATCACGGGCTGTTAGTATGCGGGGGAACATCCGAAAGTTTTGGGTTTCGGGTGTTGTGGTTCGGTCTCCAGTTCGAGTGTCCCGTGTTGCTGTTGCTTAGGAATTCGCTTTCAAAAGGGCTTCAACAAGGGCCCTAAGTTGAACGTGTTCATCTGTGAGGCAAGCTCCGAAAGCCCTAAACCCTAAATCCGGTGAACCCGAACTCTGAATAGGGAACAGGCTCAGGGGCCGACAACATTCTTTGATGAGATCGAGGAAATCATTGCTGTATAGGAGGGGGGGGGGGGCCCTACCTAATGCATCTGTGCGGGGTTCAGGGTTTAGGGTACGGCATGTCAAGGACGTCTACTTTCTTGCAAGCAAAGCAGGAAGTTTATGACAAGCCCTAAGCCAGATCCAGCCTAGAAAAACTCATTCCATCCTCCTTCCTCAACTCGAATCCCGACTCTGCCATAGCGTGGGGCGGTCACTTCTATGGACTGTGGCGTGAAGGTTTTGCCCTTCCCCCCTTAGGGTTTAGGCAGAGTACGTTGTTGTTTTGTGTTTGCTTCTTTTTTTGTTTCGGACAGTTGCGAAAGTTCAAGTGGTACTTGTAGCTTCCATTAGAGTCCTCAACCCGAAAGCCCTCAGCCCTAAACCTCACAAAACCCTAAATCCTAAACCCCCTAAAGCCTAAACTCACTGAACCTTAAAGACCCTAAACCCTACAGCCCCTCACTCTGTACCCGGTTCGACCCTAAACTCTGAACCCTAAAACCCCAAACCCTAAACCCTAAACCCTGAACCCTGAACCCTGAACCCTGAACCCCAAACCCTAAACCTTAAACCCTAAACCCTAAACCCTAAACCCTAAACCCTACCCGAGGCAAAGAGCGGAAGCCGCCTTCAGTGCCGCGCAACTCGGGGTGAGTACCAGATTTTGGTTTTAGGGTTTAGGGTTTAGGGTTTAGGGTTTAGGGTTTAGGGTTTCGGGTTTAGGGTTTAGGGTTTAGGGTTTAGGGTTTCTTGCTTCGGGGGCTGTGGAGTGGTGTTGATAGGGTTGGGTTGAGGGTTGGGGTCGGTCTAGGCCAAGGCGGGTGCGGGTCAGGGATACATCAGGCGGAGCAGAGGGTTTAGGGCTTCAAGTCAGCTTCGGGCTGTGGGAGGGGAGGGGGGGTTAAGGTTTAGGGTTTAGGGGTTCGGGTTTAGGGTTTAGGGTGTAGGGTGTAGGGTGTTTGGGGGGGGGGGGGGGGGGGGGAGGACAACTTGCGAGAGGTTTTTAGGGCTCTTCCGTAGACACCCTCTTGCGCCATTTGTTTCAATCCCTCAGCCGCCCAATTTTCCAAGACCCTAAACCCTAAACCCCTAAACCCCTAAGCCTTAACCCTAAGCCCTAAACCCTCAAAGATTAACCGTAATCCTAAACCCTAAGTCCTAAACTCCTAAACCCTCCTGAAGAAAAACGTTTGAGGCAGAAGTGCCCGGACTTCTGCGAGGGTCGCTGGGCTGGCTGGACCTGCGAAGACATCCGACACTGGGCCGTAGGGTGAGGCTGTAGACTTGGGGTCTTTAGGATCCCCTAAACCCTAAACCCTAAACCCTAAACCCAGGGTCTTGAGCCTTTAGGGCTCAGGGTGTTGTGGTCCAGGGTTTCGGGCTGAACTCCAGACGTGATGCTCACAGGTCCGAGGTCTCCGGTTCGTAGCAGTCACCGAAGAAGACGTGATTTTTTGAGGGTTTAGGGTTTAGGGTGTAGGGCTAGTCGCTGCATAATCCCAACCCTCTTGGCAACTGGGACCAGTACGAAATCCTGCGCCCTAAAACGTCCTAACCCGTTGATACGCCCCTATAGCCTTTCACCCCCCAAGCCCTCTGAATCCTAAACCCCCCAAACTTCAAGCCCTCTAAAACCCTCAGCCCCTGACCTTATACCCAGAAACCAAAATACCTAACCTTGCTAACCCTAAACCCTAAACCCTTAACCCTTAACCCTAAAGTGTTTGCGAAGGAAAGAAGGGAGTCGACGAGTTTCGGAGGATGGGTCTCTGGGTGCGGGAGGCGGGCGGCTTTGTTCCTCAGCCGAGGAGTTTGGGGCTTGGGGGCGTTCAGGGTTTAGGGTTTAGGGTCTAGGGTGGCTTGGGGTTGTTTATGGTTTTAGTCATTGTTTTCTGTCTAGTGCTAGGTGTTTTAAGCTCTCGCGTCTCAGAATGAAGAGCTCGGCCACATTTCAGTTTTGCGCTTTTGTTGGCTCATGGGTTTAAGCCGTTTTGAACCCAAATGACCAAACATGGTTTCTTTTGTCCCCAAAGGTTTAGGGTTTAGGGCTTAGGGCTTAGGGTTTAGGGTTTAGGGTTGGTGTAATGCCCAAACCATTTTTTGTTTTTTTTTTCCCAGCCTTGAGTACCGAGGATGCCAGATCACCTGCCATAAAGCGAGGCATGGTCGAAGTCCTACCGAGCGGCCTACCCGTTCCTTGGGCACGACAAGTACCGCAGAAGATTTTTGTCACGCACCTACCCTAAACCCTAAGCCCCAAACCCTAAACCCTCAGCCCTCGGTTGAAGTAGACGGAGCCTGTGCTACCATCTTCCCCAAGGGCCCGCAGTGGGCCCTCATCACCTCCTTGTAGAGTTTAGACGCCCTTATCACCCTTCAAACACAAGCATGGTACCCTTTTGGTTCCTAGGATGCTCTGGTATTTTTTTGCGAAGTTCCTGAAGGATCTTAAGCCGTGCTGGGTCAGAATACAGTCCACAAGGTTGGCGTGCACGAGTGCCTACGCACCTACAGTGATGCCTGCTGGGATGGAGAGTCTAGTGAGGAGTGGTCTCCGCATCCCGGATGCCCATTTATGGATTATAGGGCTTGTAGGGGTTTAGGGATTAGGGATTAGGGATTAGGGATTAGGGTTTAGGGTTTAGGGTTCAGGGATTCTTTGGCCCGGCAATACCTTCGTTCCCTTTTTTTTTCAGGGGCTTGGATTCCCCACACACACACACGCGCACACCCCGAGAAACGGAAAAAGGAGGGCACCCTTTGGAACCTCAGGCGGATCGGGCGAGCTCGTATAAACCCAGCGAGTCATCGTGGAATAGGGCTTTCGGGTTCTCAATCTTCGGGTTCATCCCGAAACCCCAAACCCGAAATCCGTAACCCAAAGCCCAAAATTGGGGGGTTTCAGAAATTCGGGGTACCCCTTTTTTGGGGCTCCTTTAAGGGGATTCTATTCTATTTGGGGTGTAAAAGGGGTACCCCTATTTTGGGAAATACCCAAACTCGAAAACTGCACCCTAAAACCTAAACCCTAAACCCCAAACTCTAAACCCTAAACCCTTGCAAGGTACGGTGAGATCGACTTCCAAGAGGCCGAGGACTTCCCCCGAATCATCGGCGCCCACGAGCTTCAACAGTTCCTGTCGGAAAGGCCTCGGCAGCAGGTGCTTGAAGCTGGGCTACTCTTGGCACCTTGTAGGGTCTAGGGTTTAGGGTTTAGGGTTTAGGGTTTAAAACATCCTAAACCCCCCACACTCCAGATCCTCCACCCCCGCCCCGCCAACAATCACAAGTAATTAAGGGTTCCCATATAGAACCCCCTACGTATGCCTTATATAGTCCCTCTATATTACCTAGTAAGTAGCCCCTAAAGACTCCCTAAAGAACCCCTAAGGTCCTTTGAAGGGGTCCCTCCCTTAGTCCCTTGCCATAAGTCTCGCAGAGCCTTTGGCAGGGTTTAGGGTTTAGGGTTTAGGGTTGAGGGTTGAGGGTTTAGGGTTGAGGGTTGAGGGTTGAGGGTTGAGGGTTCGAGGAGCACTACGCCAGCCCCGCCGGCATGCAACGGCTAAGTGCCTGGGAAGGCCCTTGGGAGATTTTACATTTTCCTTTGTTGGGCTTTAAAAAATCATGTTCAGGAATAATAGACCCGAAGCCCTAAACCCTAAACCCTAAACCCTAAACCCTAAACCCTAAACCCTAAACCCTAAACCCTAAACCCTAAACCCTAAACCCTAAACCCTAAACCCTAAACCCTAAACCCTAAACCCTAAACCCTAAACCCGAACCCCTCTTCAAAGGGGCCAACCTAGGTGTGGAGCAGCCGCAGCTCTCCGTCAACCGGCGTGAGGTGCAGGTGGAACGTGGATCCGGAGGATCCTGCCCCTGCTTCGAATGCTACTTCATGTGAGGGCTTAGGGTTTAGGGTTTAGGGTTCCGGGGCCCCCCCCCCCCCCCCCTCCCTCCCCACTTGGGGTACTTCATCTTTGTAAGGAAATCTTGCTTAGGAAGATCGTTCTACAGAAGGGGTTTTAAACCCCGGAATGTACATGGCTTCGGATAGGGTCTATATGAAGCAGGGTATATATTTCTTGTACCCCCAAAAGGACACCAGGTATACACACTCACCAATATTAAAGAGGAACCTTATATACAGAAATATAAACCCTGCTTCATATGGTTTTAAGGTCCAAGGCCTATACATAGGATGCTTCGGAGAGAAGCTCCACATCGCCATGGGCATAACCGCCCCTGTAATTCGCACCACTTTTGCATCCCGTGTTCAAGGCCACGTCCTTGAGTTGCGTGGAAAACTCTCGTAGCTTAGGACAGTCCCCCACAGGGTCCAAGTACCACATGAGCCCCTGGCAAAATGACCTGGTAGGCCCTAAACCCTAAACCCGAAACTCCCTAGTCCTCGAGGATCCCAGCCTGAACCTACGTCCTGCGAGGGCAGAGTTGGAGGTTTAGTCTGGGTAGGTTTCCCTCTAGTAGATGCTTAGGTTCCCCTGATGTGACAGAGTCCACACTCAGTCCTAAGTGCACTCTAAACCCTAAACCCTAAACTAGATAGTCGAACCCTGAAAACCCGAAACCCCTACCCCGAACAGAACAACCCCACTTCAGAACGCCCCATGGTCTCGGACCCTGTGAGTTTTTGTCGTGGTTTAGGGTTTAGGGTTCAGGGTCTAAGGTTTAGGGTTTAGGGTTTAGAAAGCCGTGAGCCGACCGCGGAGCGGTTGAATGTTACAGCCGGCCTTGGCGATCGTGTGGTCGCCCTGGCCTGACCCACGGATTTCTGCAGCTCCCTCAGTGGGCGGCCTTTAAGGAAAAAGGGCTTTTAGGGGCTTTCCTGGGACTCTCTACCACCTACAGTTTAATGGGTTAAACCTACTAGTTAAGGGGGCAGTTGCTACTAAACTGTAAGGAAAAAGGGCTTTTAACATTTTAAGGCTTAGGGCTTAGGGTTGAGGGCTTAGGGCTTGAGGGTTGTAGCTGGGGGTTCAGGGCTTAGCGGGTTCGAAGCAGGAAGCCGATTTCTTCAGTAAGTTGCCACCTTGACGAAAACATCCATCCACCTGCACCGCACTTCCAGAAGGAGCGCCCTAAGGCACACCAAAATCTCTAATCGTGTTTGTCTTGTGGGTTTGCAGCAGAAGAGTTTAGGGTTAGGGTTTAGGGTTAAGGGTCAAGGGTTAAGGGTTTAGGGCTAAGGTTTAGGGCGTAGAGTTTGGGTTTTCTTGAGGTACATTTTTCGGTTTTCGGGTGCAGTGCTAGCATGGCTCGGTTTTAGGAGGGCTTGTAGGGGTACAGTACATTCTGTGTTCAGGGTGTAGTGTTTGTGGGGGGGGGGGGGGGGGGGTACACCGTAAGGCCATTTGCGTCACCTCCACGAGAAGGCTTCTGCGGGCAAGTGTTAGTCGGGTTGGAAGTTAACCCTCACCCGACGCCCTAAACCCCAAACCCCTGAGCTGAGGTACTGTTAGAGTATTTAGGCACCTGCCAGTAGAGTTCCAGACCCCCTTTTGATTCTCATCCCCAAGGCCGGCCCAAAACAGGAGAAAGGAGATGAAGCTCAGCTACCACAATGATAAGGGCACCATACTACCTAACATTTACCATGTAACCCTATGACCGTGACTGCCCTTTGTAGGATCCTCAAACCGAACCTCAGTCTAAACCCTGCAAACCCCCAGAAGCCCGAAAGTGAATGCCAGGAGGTGGCACGGATTGAAGAGGGCTTCCATCGACTCTCTGTGCGTGGGGAGCACCGAGTCTGCAGCTGGCAAGGGGCTTCAGGGATTAGGGTTTAGGGTTTAGGAGTTGAGAGTTTAGGCTTTAGGGTTTAGGAGTTCGGGTTTAGGGTTTAGGAGTTTAGGAGTTTAGGAGTTAGGGTTTAGTTTTTAGGACTTCAGGGCCTGAGAGGGACTAGGGGCTTTGGGGGGGTTCAGGGGTCAAAAGGTTTAGGGGATTAGGGCTTTCATCCTAGGGCTCCGGGGGTTTGGGGTCTAGTTACCAGGTTTAGTGGCTTAGGTTAGGTGTTTATCCTAAGGCCCCCCTGAGGCCCTGGCCTTATAATCCTGCCCTGAGCTCGCGGTCGAAACTTCTCTTTGCCTGGCCCAGGCTTAGACCGAGAGAGTTCCAAGCAGGCTTCCTGCACCTCGGCAGCGGCGTCGGAACGCCAGGGTTTAGGGTTGAGTCGAGGGTTTCGAAAGCTTAGAACCCCAAAATGGGCGCTTGTCCCTTTTTTTCGGATTTAGGTTCCCTGATAAGCCCCTTCAACCCACCCTTTGTATTCCAAGGCTACTCTTGAGTCGAAAGGCGTAGGCAGCTTGGGGCGCAGTAGGATTCTATGCTGCCGTTAGAGCTTTGGACTGGGCGGAGAGGAGCCCGCAGCTCTGGGAATTGTGTAGGGGGGTTTAGGGTTTAGGGTTTTGGCTTCAGGGTTTAGGGTTTAATTAGGCTTCATTGAATCATGTGTTGCCGTATGTTGCCATGGGGGGGCACGTGGGCTGTGGGGATGGTTGAGGGGTATACCCCGTTCGGAGTTGGGGAGGGTTTATGGTTTAGGGTTTGGCAACTTAGGGGTTCCGGAGTTTGTGAGAAGTTTGGGCTTCGGGGTGGAGAGTCTGGGCTCGAAGTTCGCCGCCTTCTCAGGGACGTCTTGCCTCAGTCTGTGGGCCGCTAGTCTTCGGTGGCATTGAGCATTTTCTCGAAGTACTACAAGCCTCCTCAGCAACGCAAGGGTCCAAAGCCCAAGCCCGAGATTGAACGGATGCCCCCCCCCCACCCCCTGGCCCCTGCCCCACTTCCCCACACACACCTCAGGAACCCTCAATCTTTTGAATGACAGTTGCCATAGCCGCGAGCCTTGGTCCTGAGTTTGGGGCTTCAACTCCCTAAACCCTAAACCCTAACCCGAAACCCGAAACCCTAAACCCGATAAACCCTAAACCCTACCCTAAACCCTACGCCCCCCCTAAGCCAAGAAAACGACTCAAGCGGGGTGAGCCAAGGAACTCGGGGGCTGGCGATCCTGTACCAGATGCCCTGGCAGAGGCTCAGCGGCGTAGGAGCCAGTAGGATTCTGGTTTGGGAACTTTGTGTTTAGGGTTTAGGGTTTAGGGTTTAGGGTTTAGGGTTTAGGGTTTAGGGTTTAGGGATGGCTCCAGAACCTTTGTCCAGAAGCCCACACCCCTAAACCCTAAGCCCTATGCACAGGTGGGTGTGGGTTTGTGTGTGGCTCATGTGTTGTGCTGCTAGGCTTCGGAATCCAAAAGTCTGCCCCTGAACCTTAGACCCCAAACCCTAAACCCTAAACCCTAAACCCTAAACCCTAAACCCTAAACCCTAAACCCTAAACCCTAAACCCTAAACCTTGAGAGATAGAAGCGTTTGCTGAAGGATGGCCCATCGCCATTTTTGCCATGTGGCGACTCCGGATGTTTCAGGGCCAGCACCTCTTCCTAGTGAGTTCGGCGGCGCTGATCTTTAGGGGTTAGGGGTTTAGTGTTTCGGGTTTAGGGTTTAGGGTTTAGGGTAGCCTGCCAGGAATTGCAATGCTTAGGGATACGATACAGAATATGTGGTTCAGAGCAACCGTCATCATACCAAAACACATAGCACAGCATCTGTTACTATAGGGGTCGGAAGAATAACTAGCAAGAATATTCCCTTATGGCCCCTTTGGATTTTTCTACAAGAACCCCCAAAACCCTATCATACTTATTCAGGCCCCTGTATTAGAGTTTTTTGTTTGCGATGCCCCGAGCGTCTTGGCAGGCCCTCTTCAAATGCTTCGACTCAGACTCCACAGGCACCCTGACGGTACAGCAGCGTCTTGGCCGTACAGGAAGTCCCCAGCACCCCGGCACTCCCTAAGACCCGGAGAAAACAAAAAAACCTTAAAAACCTCAAAGACCCGAAACAACCCGAGAAAACCCTAAAAGCCTGAACAAATCCATGAAAGCAAACCCTGTAAACCCTCAAACCTTTGAGGCGCAAAGTTGAACTGCCCTCACAACCAACCCTGCTCTGCACCGGGCGCACAGGGCTTGTAGGGCTTGCGAGTATACCCGAAGAACCCCCAACAATGCAGATGCATGTTGTTGCCGATGAGTCCCAATCCGAGCACCTGTTTAATTAATACCCCCCCCCCCCCATTTAAAGAGATTTTTGTTCGTCGAGAAGCCCGCCGGAAGACTACTTTCCATTGCGGGGGTTTTCGTATGGACAATACCACCACATTTAAAGACTTTTTTCTCCGGGCGGGGGGGGGGGGGGGCGGTGTGGGTAAAAATCTGTCGGCTTTCGTGTTTTTCTTTGTGAGCTGCAGTTTGCTTCGGTGAAGCTACCAATCTCCAAAGTAAAAGCAAGGAAGCCGAAGCTTTGTTTTTCTAGAAGCTTAGTTAGGCCCTTCAGAAAGCTAGGATTTCTTATGTGATTGCTTACTGGAGGAGAGAAGTTTTCATTCTTTCCTGAGCTACCCCTTATGGGCTCTTGCCCGCAAAGACAGCATCACATTTATCAAAAGGGACCACAATTATGGGAGGCCCTGGGGGGGACCCCTATTGTTTTCAATACATTCCTATTTTTTAACAGAGAATCAATACATTGCCATGGTCTTACTATTGCGGCGCCCTGCCTTTCTTATTGCCGTGCGGGGGGTGGGGGGCCTCCCCCCAATTAAACAGGTGCTCAAGAGGTTCAGGGCAAGTACAGCAGTTTTGTGGTTCGTAGGATGTCCACCAATGTTTTATGATTCTAGTATATTCTAGTGGTTTGGGATTGATGCTTATCGGCTTTCTAAAGTGACAGGCATGAACCCTAAACCCTAAACCCACGCAGTGAACCCTCGTCGAGGTTTATCTGCGGGGTGGCCATCCTCTGTCGGGGCAGGCGCGGAAGCTT